CCTTCTCTTTTCTGAATTCCTTCTGCCTTGTTCATGTGGCTTTTCCCTAGATCTCTGCTCAGTTTTTGTTCCCTGACTTCCCTTCTGGGCAAACAACACTCCAGCCCCACCAACCCGCTCCTTGCTCCTTTGTTCATTCACCAGACATTCACTGGGAGCCTGAATACTCACTCAGCAAACATTCATCAGAGGCTCCACTCTGTGCCAGACACCGTACTGGGGCCCAGGGACCCCAAACGTATAGTCTCGTGAGAAAAATGGCAGTTAAGCAACCACAGTGCACAAAGGAGGGGTGGGCGTGTCTGTGGGGCTACCACACATGGAGCTCTAACCCAGTCTTGGGGTGCAGGAAGGGCCTGTGTTAGGGGGTAAGGTTTAAGCTGAGTGCCCAGGAAGGAATTGGAGCCAGCAGATGAAGGGAGAGAGAGAGCAGTGCAGATTTTAAACTTGACCCCAAGGGCCGTGGGGAGTTTGAAATGGACACTTGGGTAAGGGGTTGTCAATTTTAGATACAAAATGAGGTCGAGGTTTTAAAATATGAAACTGCTATTTTTTAAGTTTTTATTTGAAATCAGCTCTATTAAAGAATAATTTATGTACAATATTCGCCCATTTTAAGTGTACAAGTACATCATTTTTGACAAGGGTGTACAGTTGTGTAATCACGACCATAACCCAGGCATGGAACATTTCCATCACCCCCCACAGGTCCTCCCTGCCCCTCGGCAGCCAGGCCCCTCCCCTCCACCCCACCAGCGGAGACAACCTGGCAGATTTGCCTGTCTAGACTTTCTCGTCATTGCACCACAATGGCTGCCTCCTGTGTCTGGCTTTTTCACTTAGCACAGTGCTCTTAGCCCTCATGTTGTCTGCTGTGGAACCCTTTTTGCTACACAGTAACACTCCCTTGCAAGGCTGTACCACAGTGTGGTTATTCTTTCAGGGTTGGTGCGCATTAGTGTGGGGAAAGGCTGCTCTGGAGTCTCCCCTCCTCCACCCTAAAGCACGCAGCCTTGCAGCTTTTTCCCTGCAGGAGAAGGTCAGGGGACTTATTCCCCAGGGAAGGAGAGAGCGAGTATTATTCAGAACAATGAGACCAGACTGGCTTTCTTGTTTGCCAGGAGATAATTGTCTTGAAAGCCAGCCTGGTGGAGAAAGAAAAACTTTCTTAAAAATGTCCAAAGCTCCCTTCGTATTCACAAGCCAGGCCTGACCCACATGGACCAGAGAACTTTGCTGAGAGCCTTCGAGGGAGCCATGGGCTGCCGGTGAAGCACCCAGCCCAGAGACAGCGGCACCAGTGGGCCTTCTTGCCAGGACAGGAGGAGGAGGGGGACCAGCCGGTGGGGGGTGATGCGGGGAATGCTGCTGGGTCGGTTGGTTGGAATTGGGGAGAAAACAGAAGTTCTCTTGGGTGCTTTAGGGAAGTAAAGGGGGAACTGAGGGCATGGTGGCTCAGGCCAGCACCACGGGACATGTCCAGACCAGCAAGTCCGAGAGAGCCTGGCCAGTTCCCCATGGCCTGTGGGTGGTGGACACAAGTCCCAGAAGTCCACGTGTGCCTCCCAAAGTGGGGTTTGGAGGGACCGAGAGGATCAGAGCAAAGAGGCCACGGAGAGCTAACGGCAGGGTCCCCTGTCAGTAACAGGAGATGTGGGCACACACCTGCCGGCCAAGAGGGACCAAGGACAGCACCTGTAGCTTCTGTGAAAAGAGTCTGAAGCTCTGAGATAAGGGGTCCAGGGCACCTGAGGCCGAGGAGGTGGGCCAGAGGACCCACCTGGACTAGCAGCAGCCCCTCGCGTACCCCGAGAACCACCTGGGGAAGGAAACGTGGGGTGGGAGGTGTGAAGAACCCTTGAAAGACAGAGAAAGAGACCGAAGTAACCCAAAAGAGGTGGCATCACCTTTAACTGGTAAGGTTGGGTTTATTGGGATCAGTTAGAGAATTTCATTTCTGTGATGTTCAGTACATCTCAGTGATAGTGGGTGTGATGTTTTCCTGCCATGGAAGGCTGCCTGGCTGGAGTGTGGGGGACAGCCTGGGGCAGGGGCACTGCTCTGGAGGCTAGGCTGAGGGCTGTCAAAATTGTTCTGATAGGAGACCTGGACCGGGGCAGGGGCTGTGGGTCTCAACCTCAGCCGTGCATTGAAATCGCAGTGTCCTGCTCAGAACCATGCCCCCGGCCGATGCAGCCAGAATGTCTGGAGGCAGAGCCAGGTGTCAGTATTTTTAAAGGCCCTCTCGTGATGTCATTAGGCACCAAGGTTGAGAAAATCAGAAGTTGGAGAGCAGAGCTTCTCAAACTGTAACATTCATCTGAATCACCTTGGGGATGTTCTTAAAACAGACAATTTTGTCTGTGGGTCAGAGGCAGGGCCGGGAGTCTGGAGCTGATGCTGCTGGCATGCAGACCACGCTGTATCTGGAGAAGATACTGAGGGGGAGACTCAAAGGCTGGGTGAAGCCTGGATCTGGGGGAGGGCAGGGGCTTCCAGGGAGACTTCCAGGTTTCTGGTGCGAGCGCCTGGGAGGATGGGGGCCTTCAGCCAAGCTCTCGAGCTGAATGCTGAGTGGGCGTGAGGATTCAGGGTGGGGTGGAGGCCAGTCCAGTCCAAGTCTCGTTGAGCACAGCTGTCTACTGGCCTGGAGCGCAGTAGGCAATATGAATCTGAGGAGTCGATTCGGGATTCATCAGTACCTTACTAACACCAGCTCATATTTACTGAGCACTAACCATGTATTGGGCTCTAAAGCGAGCATTTTGTATATAATAACTCGCTTAAAGGCCATAGTGCTCAGACGGAGAAACTGAGGCATGTCCAGTCACTGGCTGCACTTGGACATAGTGGTTAGACAATCACATACTTTACAAAGTGTTCCCCCGATATTGCTGGTACCCAGCTGGCACCATACATAGTTATCACAATATTATTGACAGTATTGCACCAGACGCTTATGAGGTCCTCAGGCAGCAATGCAGCCTTGGGATGCTTTTGGACTCAGGTAATAGAAACCCAAGTCAAATTCACTTACATAAAAAAAAAAAATGGAAGTTATTGGCTCAAATAACAGAAAACTCAAAGGACAGATCTGATTCACAGACAGGATCCAGGCACTCAGATGATGTCAAGAACCCGCTGCATGTCCTGCCTCTGACTCCCTGGGTCAGTCATTCTCAGGCAGCCTCTCCGTAGATGTGACAATGACAACCCAACAGCCCCAGGCTCCTGTCTTCCCAGTTCAGTAGTCCTGAGAGAGGGGCAGACTGTTTCCCAATTTCTTCTGCAGCACTCCTGGCATTGCCACTTGCTGGCTCTCATTGGCCAGCACAGGTCATGTGCCAATCCCTGAGCCAATCACTGCGGCTGAGAGGATGTGGCACTGTCCTTGGCCAGGCAAAGGTCAAGTGCCCACTCCAGTGGTTAACCCTGGGACCTGAAAGTAAAGGGGTGGGAATGGATTCTGGGCAGGTGAGAGCACGGATGCCCAGGAATGGGAACAGAAGCCAGACCTTGCCTCACGGTCGTGGTCGCAGGGCACTCGAACAGGAATGCCATGATTCTACCAGGCACCATGCAGCTCCCACATCTTGGCCCTGCTGTTTCATCAGCCTGGAGTGCCTCCCAGCTCACTGCCATGACTATTCTACTTATCCGTTCCTGGCTCCAGTCCATCTGCCCCTTCTGGGGCCTTCCTCATAACCCAGGGCTTATCAGATACCTCTTACCCACCACTTCACAGTCCACACGGGCCTCAGTGTCTGCTTCCTGCTCTCCCTGGGCCTACAGGCATTTCCAGGTGCAGCTTCCTGCCCATCCTGGGGCTTCCCTTAACTCTGCCTCGGGGTGCCTGTGTGCCGAGAGGGGTGTGCACAACCCAAGGGTCCGGGGGGGGTTTTAAACCTGGATCATTGGGAGATGAAAGCCGGTGGGCAAATTTTCTCTTCTCCCCACCATGCATCCCCAAGGGGTGTCCCAAGGCTCAGTAGGTGCAGTTTCTCAGGGCACAGTTCACAGGCCCAGCAATTGGTGACTCTTGCCTGCAGCCAACTTGAACACACCCTCCTAAGGCTCCTTCCCTCCCCCGTCTTTCCTCTTGTCCTTCCCTTCTGCTTCCTGGAGGTATTAGTCAGGGCTCTCGGAGAAAGAGAACCAAGAGGAGGTCTATCTATGTCGACAGTGACACCAATATACACGTATATGTAGACTGAGATTTCTTGTACGAAACTAGCTCACGCAGTTATATGGGTGGAGAGCTCCCAGCATCTGCCACCTGTGAGCTGGAGACCCAAGGAAGTTGGTGTAGTTTCCGCCCGACTCTGAGCCTGAGAACTGGGAGGTCCGATGGCATAGATCCCAGTCCAGGACGACTCACTTTATCGTAACACTCGTTCTCTCCTGGGGGTCTGGCGCCAGACCCACGGCATCTCCGAGACCCGCATGTACGCACACAAGTGCTTCCTGAGGGCAGAGGCCTGGGCGGGGCGGAGTGACTCGGGGTGCTCTGTGAACAGGCGTTCCCTGTCAGGCTGGGAAGAAAGCAGTTCCTCTTTCTCCCCAATTTTATTGAGTTCTATTCGAAGGACAATAACCTGCACATATTTCAAGTGTACAATTTTGGTCAGTTTTGACATATGTATACAATCACGAAACCATCACCATAATTGGGATAAGAAAAATGTTTCCCTCAGTCCCAAAACCGCCGCTCTGCACCCGTCACTACAAATTGTTTTCATTTCTGAGTTTTATACAGTCACGTGGCGCATGCTCTCTTTTGTCTTGCTCCTTCCACTCAGATCTATTATTCTGATTCAAACACGTTGTGGCATATCTCAGCCATTTACTCCTTCTCACTGCTGAGTCATGGCGCCCCGCATAACTACACAACAGTTTGTTGGTCCACTCATCTGTTGAAGAACTTTTGGGGTTGGTCCCAGTTTTTAGCTATTACACATAAAGCTCTTATGAATAGTTGCATACAAAGTTTTTGTAGACACGTGTATTTCCTTTTCTTTTGGGTGAAGAGGAATGAAGTGGCAGGGTCGCACAGTACTGCCAAACCACATCCCAGCGCGGTCATACTGCTTTTCATTCGCCCCCAGAAGTGCATGCCAGTCAGTCTTCCCCAGCACTTGGTACGGTGCATGTCTTTAACTTTGGCCTTTCCAGTAGGTGCGAATGGCATCTCATTGTGGTTTTAGTCATCTGTGCTCAGGTCGTGAATTACTTTGAATGTCTTCTGTGTGTTTATTTGCCATCTATGTATCTGCTTCGGTGAAGCGTCTATTCACATCTTTTGCCTTTTTCTTTGGTTGTTGTTGGGCTGTTTGCTTTCTTCTTATTTTTGAAAGTTCTTTATATGTTCCAGATGCAAGTCCCTTAACAGATACGTGATCTGCAAATGGCTTCTGCCTGTCTGTGTCTTATCTTTTCATTTTCTTAACAGAGTCTTTCAAAAAGCATACATTCTTAATTTTGATGTAGTCCAATTTACCCATTTCTTTTATGGATAGCATTTTTGGTGCTAGATCCAAGAAATCTTTGCCTACCCCAAGATCACAAAGATTTCTTCCTATGTTTTCTTCTAGAACTTTCATATTATTATGTTTTATATTTAGGGATATGATCCCTTTTTCTTCAAAGTATGAAAATGCAAGATGTAAGACACAGCTCATAAGATAACGCGTTCAGTCTTCACCCGGAAGCGTGCTCTCCACCCTCGATTTTCCAGAGAAAATCGGGCCCCAATTTTCCAGTTTCAGGGCTGTCGTATTTTCATGGCTCCTTGCACGTTGACTTTTGGGATGCACCTGGGCATTTCGAGTGTTATGGTGCATAGATTCTGGACCATTATTGCCTTTAAAGAATGTTGGGGTTTTTCCTTGAGCAGCCAGACAACCTGGCTGGGTTTAGACTCAGTTCCGCGTGGCTCCTGTGGGCGGTGGTTCATCTCCCAGTCCAGTTCTCGGAGTCTTTGCAGCATCAGTTTGGATCCGCCCAGTGTTGGCGTCGTTCTGGGTCAGGCAGAGCCTGTCTGGGTCATTCTGATCTCTGAGCCCTCCTCTGATCTGAGCTGTATAACAACCATTGGAGACGCATGAGGGGAAATCAACCTCCTCATCTGGCAGATGAAGCATTCAGGGCCCACGGATACATAGGTGCTCAGGGGCAGAAATCACAGTAGCGTGTTCCTTCCCCACCCACTGTGAGGGCTGACAGAGACCTAGATCCGAGTCGCTGGGGGTGGGAGGCTGCTCCGGCATCTCCACACCACATGGCCGAGACCTGAGGCCAACGGCTGACCTCCCCAGCCACACCCTGGCTCTGGCTGAGGTCTCCCAGCTCCTGGCCCACCCCTCTCCCCCCCCCCAGATGCAAAGTGCTCTGACTCAGATCGCCCTCTATCCATCTCATGGCCCAAGAGCATATGGTGGGAGGGGAGGAAGGGAAGAAGTCTGAGAAAGGGGTGATCCCATCTCTCTGGGCGTCTCAGGGACTCACCATGAAGTCAGCAGAGTCCCAGCTGCTGATGTCAAGGAACAATGGTAATAAAAACTATGCTTCCTGAGCACTTTCTGTGTGCCAGGCGCCATGCGAAGCACGTGTACGTACACACCAGGCATTCCTGACTCTGGTAACAGCTTCATGAGGCAGGGCCTAAGATGACACCCATTTCACAGATGAGGAAACTGAGGTGCCAAAAGGCAACCTCCCCTTTTCAAGGTCACACAGCTGATAAATGGTAGGGCCTTTGAAGGGGGACCTTAGAGTTGGGCGCCTTCCTCTGTGACCTGGGCTGGTTTGGCCATTGAACCAGCTCCCCAGTGCCTTGCCATGTTCCCTGAAAACCTCCTACCCTCCCAACACCACTCAGGTGCCAGAGCCCTTTCTTGAGATGCCCAGAGGATTGAGCTAATCCAAGCCCCAGACCCAAAAAGGAAGGGCCAGATTCCCAAGGGCCCTCAGACTGAGCAGACCCCTGCCTCCAACCGAAAATGAACCCAAATAATGAGAGAGGCTGTCTCTGTGGATGCAGAGAGATGGGGTTGGTTGTCTTCTGTTCTGCATTAAGTAACAAAGGGGAAGACCAACCGGGCATGGTGCATGAAGTTCCCCATCAGCACCACCCGGACCCCTGGAACATCTTTATCCACTTACCCGGGGAATCAGGAAATTCTCCTCCAAGCCAGTTTTATTGGAGATTTTGGAAGCGAAGCTCACAGCCTCCCAATCAATAACAGATGAACAATGCTCGCATCGCATTTTTTCGGGAGGACGTTTGGCCCGGGCCTGTCCCCAGGCCTAGCCTTGGACATTCCCCTTGCATTGGACATTGTTGGGAAATTAGCAGGGCAGTTCTAGAAACCAGAGTCATCGGCAGCGTGTGGGTGCGGCGGGAAAGGCTGTGCTGGCTGGGTCAGCCTGGGGAAGCCCTGTGTTTTGCAAGGGTTGGGGTCTGGCTCACAAGGCACCCCCTTGGCTCTCCTCTCCCCCCACCTCGTCCCTGGCTCAGCTTCCACATGTACTCAGCACGGGCATCAAGTCCACAGGCCAGTAAAGAATCAATCAAATCCAGTCCTGGCGGAGCGGGGCCGTGGCGCCACGGCGCTGCTGGAGGAAGTGTGGGCAGCGGGGGTGAAGGCAGGCCCAGCTGTGCAGAGTGATTTCTGCAGAAACCTTCTTACCGCACCCACAGATGCCCTGGAGAAGGGGGTCCAAGACAGGGACCAGGACCACCTCTTGGGCCTTCACACCCCCCAGACCCACAGTTGGAAGTAGGGGAGGAGGAGCCCCGAGGGGGAGAGGAATGGCGGAAACACTCTGTTACCCTCAGACCATCCGCAGTGTGAGAAATGAGCTGCTTGGAGTGAGGAGCAGGGTCCGAGGTTCCGTTCTCCCATCTCATCAACACTCACCGAGCACCTACTACACCCATGCCGGTGGGAGAGAGTGAAAGCACCATGAGCAGACGCAGGGTCCGCCCGCTGCAGCTCACAGCCTGGTGTGTTTGTAGCAGCCCGATCAACATCACAACCCTCTCCTCAGAGAGGAAAAGGCAACAAGAAAAACACCCACATTCTGGGGTCCCCAGCGGGATGAGGGCTCTCTCCTCGCACCACTGTGGAGAGTCCATCACTCCACGGCGCTGGTGCCTTCGCTGAAGAAACCCCCTTGCTGAAGAAAATGCTAAATATTTCGGTCTTGCTAGAGCTGTGCCCATCCTGTGGCGGGTATTTGTTGAGCACCTGCTGGGTTCAGGGCCCCAAAGAGACACCTGTTCGGGAGGCAGGAGGCCAGCCAGTGATCAGAGAACCGGACGGTGGAAACCCATGCCAAGGACTGGTCTGGCCTGGTCCACAGAGAGGGGGCCCCGTGCACCAGGGTGGACTGGCCCAGGACCACGAGGCTCCACTTCAGGTTCCCACCGGCCCTGCCAGTGCATCCCTGTGTGATGCCGGGCCCACTGGCCTGCCCCCAGCTCAGTTTCCCCACCTGTAAAAGGGGGAGGTGGGTAGGAGTTTCTGCAAGTGTCACCTGCGGACAGCTTGCATCCGAATGACCTCAGGGTAGGGGACCTGGTGAAAACGCAGATTTTTGGACCTCACAGTAGGCCTCTGACAGAGGTCCTCAGAGGAGAAGGTGGGGCTGGGAACATGAAGTCATGATGCACCCCCTTGGGGATTCTGACAGCCCCCAATCTGAGCAACACCCATGGAGGTGACAGTGCCTCAGTGCAGGGCAAGTTCGCCAAAGCGGATTCTGTTCTAAAGGAACTCACTCAGCTGAGAGGGACTCAGGCAGTCAGGGAAGACTTCCTGGAGGTGGACGTGAGCTGAGACTGAAAGTATAATAACAGTGATGGTCATCGTCATTGTTGTCAAGACTTTACAAGATTCTACGTACATCCACCCCTTTCTTCTTGCTGGGCAAAGTGCTTTAAGTTCATTGTCTCATTTAACCGCTCTGACAGCCGGTGAGATAAGACCTCTTATGTCCATTTCATTGTGAGAAAACTTACCTCCCTCAGGTGTGGGGACCTGCTCTCAGACTGACCAAAAATTCTCCCTCACATGGTGCACGGGCTGGGTGCTCCTGCTCCCGAAACCTGGAGCAAACAGAGGAGGCCTTCCGGGAACAGAGGGGTTGGCGTCTGGGACTCAGAGAACAAGAAGGGATTGTTTCCTCCAACGCTTCGTTCACTCACACATCCATTCATTCATTCATTCATTCACTCAGTCCCTCATTCAGAATTCGCTCATTCATTTTATTGCTCCCTCATCAATGAATTCATGTACTTACTTATTCATTCGTTGAATCACTCTGTTTGTAGCACACTTTATTTCTTGACTGTGTAGTTAGGATTCATTCATTACACGTGACTGAAAAATGGCTCCAACTCACTGAAGCAGGAAAAGGAACTTACCGACACAGGAATCCGAAATGCCCCTAGGTGAGCACACACAGCCCCAGTCTGACTGCATCCAGGCGCCCAGGCGTTGTTTGTCGGTGACTCCGCATGCCCTTTGGCTCTGCTTTCCTGTGTCAACTTCACTCTCAGGCCAGTTGGGTTGTTTTCCTCTCTGCTTATAAAGTTGTCCACCAGCAGCTGCAAGCTTATGTCCTATCAGCTTAGCCCTCCGGCTGAAAGTAGGTGCTTCTTTTCCAAGAGCTCAGCAAAAATCCCAGAGAGGCCTTTTGTTGGCCTAGCACGAGTCATGTGCTCACCTCTGACCAATCACTGTGGTCGGAGGAGTCAGGGCTCTGATTGGCCAGGCCTAGTCACAGGGAGCATGGTGAGGGAGTTTGTTTCTCTACGGAAACTTAGGGTGCTATTACTAGAAAATGGATTGGGGGCCTAAAATGAACAGGTATCTTCTACATAGGAGTAAGAAGTTCGCCTTGTACTGGGCTCCTCCCACCCAGTTCCAGTTTGACTCCAGGTCTGCTGGCCAATTTCTTCCTGGTTGCACAGTGGAGTTGGAGAAATAACCCCTTCCCATTTGAAAACGCCAAACTACGCTGTCCTGGGGGGTGAGACACTGATACCCCGGGCATTCGTCACCTGGCCAGTTGGAGGCTTTACAGACGGGCCCCTTTAATCCTGTCTGCCGCTCCCTACCGAGGAGGGCAGGGGAAGTGCTGTTCCCATTTCACGCTTGAGAAACCTGACGATTTGTGAAGGTAAGGACTGTAGCTACTGTGATGGCCGATTTCATGTGTCAGCTTGACTGTGCGAAGGGGTGCCCCGGGTGCTGGTGAAACATTATTTCTGGATGTGTCTGTGAGGGTGTTTCTGGAAGAGGTCAGCATTTGAATTGGTAGACGGAGTCAGGAAGAGCTGCCTCGCCAGTGTGGGCACGGTGCAGTCCTCTGCGGGCCTGAACGGAACACAGGGTCGGAGGAAGGGTGGATTCGCTCTCTCCTGGAGCAGGGATGTCCATCTGCTGGCCTCGGACGTCAGCGCTCCTGGTGCTTCGGCCTTTCAGACTCGGACCCAGACTTACAGCACTGGCTCCGCTGACCCCTGACCCTCGGGCCTGCAGACTCAGACTGCATGACATCACCACCTTCCCTGGGTCTCCGGCTTGTGGAGGAGGAGGGCAGGTGGTGGGGTTTCTCAGCCTCCGTAATCACACGAGCCAATTCCTATAATAAATCTCCTATACGTCTCACCATATCCTGCTGGTTCTGGTTTTCAGGGGAACCCTGACTGAGTCAGCTACGGTCACAGCTGCCAAGTGATGGAGCCCAGGTTTCAGCCCAGTTCTTGGTGATCCTGGCTGTCCCATCCCTGCAGTGACGGTGAATTCCTGCCCACAGGTGAAGCTTAGTTCTGTTCAGGGTGAGGGAGTGAGGAGAGGACAGGGTTACCAATTTGGAATGGGTGGAAAGGGACCTTCCACAGATCCTGGAGGCTTTCTCAGACCCACCCTTGCTGAACAAGGCCCTGGTTTCTGTTGCACTGGCCACAGGACGCATCGCAAGCCTCCCGGGGTGTAGGGTAACTGAGGTCACCAGGCAGCCGGGGAGGGGTGGGAGCCAAATGTTTGCAGAGTGTCCACTGTGTTCCCAGAACTGAGCAGGATACCAGGAAGCACAACTGTCATCATCCTCGCGGGCAGAGGTTCTTAGCATATCTGCACAAGTGGCCCCAGAGCCCTGGTGGCTGTTAGGGCCGCACACGCGACATGCACACATGACATGCGTGCGTGCAGCCGGAAGGGCATGTGGCTGGGGAGTCTTGTGGAACACGGACCCCTCTCTGGGGGGACAGCCATCACTCAGCATCTGCCCTGTAGACCTGTGAGCCCTATGCTGCTACGCCTTCCGGTTTTGCAGGGGAAACCCTGGAAATCAACTTTTATGGGAATTCCTCCAGTCTTTAACAAACAGGTTCAACTTTTTCAGGGGTACTATGTGGGTAAAAGAAACACATCTCCAGGTATTTTGACCTCCCCTCACTTTGCTTAGGGGGATGCTGAGACCCAGAGAAGAGAGATAATGAATGTGCCCAAGGTCATCCGCCAGAGTGAGAACGAGCTCTCCCACCTTCCAGACCTGTGGGCTGACCCCTGGACCCCCGTGTCCCTTACATGTCCAGTATGCAGCAGCTGACACAGTGCTTCTGCACCCCGCATCTCAGGATCTTCACCTTGCCCCAGGGGCAGGCAGAGTGGGGCCAATCACCTCCGTGTTCCTGATGAGGAAGCAGAGGCACCAAGGGGCTGAGCATCCAGCCCAGGGCCCAGAGCCAGAGTGTGAAGCCCTGACACCTGGCCCCCAGGGCAGTGCCGTGTTGCTCTGCTCATTGATGCTGCTGCATCTTGTGGTCGGGGTTTCAGCCTGAGTCAGGCTTTCCAGAAGCCCGAAGCCTGTAGCAGAGAGTCCGCGCTAGGAGACAAGGCTCACATTAAGTATGCTTGATGGAGCACAGATGTGTGAGACAGAAAATGAGGGGAAGTAACAGCGGCAGCTGGCACAGGTCAGGCACTAGGCTGGACGTTTCCTGCAAATTCTCTCATTCAGTCTGCGCAGCTACTCCCGTGAGAGAGGTACTCTGATTCTGCCGATGAGGAAATGACGGCACAGAAAGTTGCAGACCCCCAACCAAGGTTATACCTAGGAGGTGATGGAGCTGGAACCTGCACCCCACTGGTCTGGATCCAGAGAGCCCATGCCGCGGAAATGCGGGCCATTGGTTGGCACCGTCAGAGAGGACGCCCAGGGCCCCTGGAGTACTTTCCAATTCGGGGTCAGCAGGAGGAAATGCTTGGAGACAGAGATCTGCAGGTCCTTGAAGGATGGCTTAGCTACAGCCATGCTCTGAGGCCAGGCTCTTCTGTGTCAGGAGGACACTGACGTCCGGAGCAGTTTAGGCCCAAAGGCACACAGCATCCCGGTGGAAGACCCGGACCCGGACCAAAGTACCTCGCCTCTCAGCTGCTGTCCGGCTGCCCCAAGCCTTTCCCACACAGTCCCCCGGTGTCTGCGATTCTGTTTATGGGACTTTCCCAAGGGGGACCCACGAGTGTCAGAGTCCTGCCTGCCTCACCTCGCTGCTGCTTCAGGACAAACCCTCCCAAACCTTAGCGGCCAAAAACACCATTTTATCATCTCCCCTGTGCCTGTAGACCGACTGGGCTCAGCTGGTGGCTCTTCTGCTCCACATGACACGTGGGCTGGGCTGCCCTCTGCCAGGGGCTCAACTTCAGCCCCACAGGTTGATGTTGACAGTGGGAGGGGCTGAAGATGTGGGACAGAGAGCCTACCTGTCTCTGCCCCGCCCCCCATACTCCATGTGGAATGGGCTTCTCACAGCATAGCAGTTGGGTTCTATGATATTGTGATGTAAAAGAAATGTATATTTTGATCTTTGCCCCTGGTTCTTGGCCAGAGCTTCTAAAACCCTTGTAATAAAAATGATAGGAACATCTTTTGTTTGATTTCTGTTCCCACCTCTTGAAACAGCTGCTGACATATCTTTTGTTATTTATAACAAGATCCTTTCATTGATACCTGAGTTTATGACACTGAGGTGACTTTTGGAAAGCCCCTAAGAATGGGGGCTGGTTGCCAAGGGAACCAACCATGTGATTGGAGGGTTGGAACTTTAATCACTCATAAGCAATGATTTAATCAAGCCATGCAGTGAAAACCTCAGTGAGAACCCTGACTGAAGGGGTTTGGGGACTTCCAGGTTGGTGAACATGTGGGGGAGGGGGTCTTGCAGGGCGGTGCACCTGGAGAGGGCACCAGAGCTCCCCACCCCTTTCCCACACCTGGTACCGCTCCCTCTGGCTGTTCTTCTCTGTCCTCCGTGATATCCTTTGTAACAAACCAGCAGATGAATAAATGTTTCCTTGAGCCTGTGAGCCATTGTAGCGAATTATCAAAACTGCGGAGGGGGTTGTGGGAACAGGTGACAACTTGGACTTGAGATTGGAGTCTGAAGGGGGTAGTTTTTAGGGACTGAGTCTTTAAAGACCTGTGGAATCTGTGCTAACTCCGAACAGTTGAGTTAAACCGTAGGCCAACCTAGTTGGTGTCCTCCAAGAACTGCAGAACTGGCTGGTGTGGAAAAACACACACATCTGATGTCAGACGAGCTGGGAGTAGAGGAGACGGGGGTCTTCCCTTCGGGTCCCAAGAGAGGGCATCCCCGGAGTGAGCACTCTGCCGCCCCTCATGGCGGCCCCCTCAAGTCACCCAGTGTCACAACCACCACTAGCCACTCCTACTACCCTGAATTATTTGCTTCTGAGCACTTGTCACGGCCTGAGATGGTCCTGCTTATTGATGTGTCTGTGTTCACATCCCTGCGCCCCTCCCTCCAGAGCAGGGTTTCCCCAGCTTGGCACAGTTGACATTTCTGGCTGGATAACTCTTTGCTGTGGCAGAGTCGGGGTGGGGGGCAATCCTGTGTATGTGGAAGTCCAGCAGCCCCCCTCCCGGTCTCTGTCTGCTAGGTCTCAATAGCATCACCTGCACGTTGTGATAACCAAAAACATCTCTAGACATTGCCAAAGGTCTCGGGCAGGTGTGTGCACACGCTTGCAAAATCGTGCCTGGCTGAGCACCGTTATTCTGAGCGACTGGGCCTCGCACTTTAACCCGCATCAGAGCCCCACCCCAGATTCAGCAGGTCTGGGGCCAGCTGAGAGGTGGCCTTTCTCACAAGCCCCAGGTGACGGTGACGGTGACGCCGACCCTGCCGGTGCGGGGACCACACTCGGAGAACCCTGCCCTACGGCAGTGGCCGTGCGTAGTTGGCACTCATAAATATTTCTTGAATAAACCATCTTAACATCGCAACAGTAAGGAGAAAACTCCTGGGGGTTTACGGTGAAAAATTATCTGGCGGGAGAAAAGGGAAATTTATGTGCTTGGGGCGGGACTGAGAGAGAGAGTAGTTGAAACCGGTGTGTTGGCTCGGACCTGGGTGGGCTTTATGGCTTGGCCGTTCATCTTGGACTTCTCCTGCGGTTCGCTCTGATCCATTCCTCCTTGTCTTCGGGGGATTATTTGCTGTGGGAGCAGCTGGCAGCGGGGTTCCAGTGACGCACACACGCCCCCTCCCTCTGGGTCCCTGGCCTCTCTGAGCACGGCGCTGCCTCGCAGCTGGAGGACTGAAGAGGTGCCGGTCTGAGGGGGTGAGATGGTGCCTCTGTGCAGCTCTGATGACATTGACAACGACGACCAGAGCTGACATTGCAGGGTGGGCGCTCACCATGGGCCGGCAGAGGGAAGGCGCCTGCAGGCAGGACCTCATCTGCCCCTCCCCGGGGCTCTGTGGAGTAGGTGCATGTTAGTACCCCTGCCCCACAGATGAGGAAACCGCGACTCCGAGAGGCGACCTTGGTCTAAGCCGAAGAGATGAAGCTGGGATAAACACCCAGGTCTGCGTTGGTTTCTCAAACCGCTGTGGTAGGTGCTCAAAAGTGTTCTGTGGGGGGTGCGGGGGGCTGGTTTTGTGGCCTCCCGGTTGCTCCTAGATCTCACCAGGCATGTGGGGCCCAGGGACTTTGCACCTGTGGGTCCCTCCGCCTGGAATGCTCTTCCCTCAGGTCCCTCTGCACACGGCGGTCCTCCTCGCCTCCTCTAGGTCAGATCAAACACCACCTTCTCAATCAGGGCTCCCTCACCCCCAGACGTAAAGCTTCAGTTCACCCCTAGCGCAGCACCCCCAGCCTTGCCTGCTTTATTCTCCTCCACAGCACTTGCCTGCACCCGACATACTCCGAGTTTTACTTACCACACACACAGGGTGGTATAAAAGGAGGCTTACAGTCGTTTGTACGAAAAATAACACAATAATTAGTAAATAATACAAGAAGAAATTCTGTGTCACGTACTCACAGCTGCAAACCCACCCTGTATTTTCTGTCTCCTCCTTCTGCAGTGTCGGCCCCGGGGAGGCGGGAGCCTTGGTTTGTTTTGTTCACTGATGTGTCCCCAGAACTTGGGACAGTCCCTGATGGATATTAGGAACTCATTAAGCATTTGCTGAAGGAATAAAGAGAGGAAGGAAGGAAGGAAGGGAGGGAGGGAGGGAGGGAGGGAGGGAGGAAGGAAGGAAGGAAGGAAGGAAGGAAGGAAGGAAGGAAGGAAGGAAGGAAGGAAGGAAGGAAGGAAAATTCTGTTAAAAGTCAACAAACTTTTCTTACTGCACAACTTCTGGGAGCCTTCATCATGCTAATGCTACACTGTAAAGACAAAGATCATCTGCATTCACAAATGATCTTTGTAACTGGGATTTCCCAAACTTCCTTGATGACTGAGCACACTTTCTGGTAGAGCTGCAGTTGACCTTGACTGTCCCCAGGCACGGCCTGCAGCGCCCCCCATCCTCCTGAGCTCCCCATCCTTACCCTGCCCTCCTCCTGCATGAGGGGCACACTCGGGTGTCGGGGTGCACGGACACCTCCCTGCACACCCGTTTGCTGGCTGTGGTGAGATTGGCCTGCGTGACCACACTGGCCTGCCCTTGGGCGTGCAAACCGTCTTTGAATGGACTGATTGTCAAAGGCAGAGAAAGGCCAGCTCACCTTTGAAAGAGGCCACTCACCAGGCAAAAGCAAGGTGGCCTGAACTTGAGACGACAAAACAAGGTAGACAATGAGTCCATTAGAAGCAGATGAGAGCTGCAGGGGTTGTGAGAACTTGGCTCTCCCCCAGTCAGCAGGACGACCAGCAGGCAGGTCACGCTGGGACAGCAGTTTCCATGTCTTTGTGTCTGCGCTCAGAGCCAGCAGCCCCCGAGGCTGGGGGCCGAAGGACTCACCCCCCAATCTCTGAGTTCCTGCTGTGCATTCCTGCTCTGCAGCTGGACCTCCAAGGTGGCCAGACCCTACCTTGGAGCCCTCGTACTTTTCTGTACCTGCAAAGCCACCTTTCTATGGGACTTCGTCACTTAGAGAGAAAAGGGTCACTTAAAAGATGCCAACAGTACACACTTTGGCATCGACAGGCCTTGGCTCAAAACCCGGCTCAGGCAAGGGCAGCCGAGTGACTTCAGGCAAGTTCCTTTATCACTCAGAGCCTCGATTTCCTGCTCTATATAATAGAGCAACCCGGATTAACTTTCTCCCTCCTTGTCTCCCGCATAGTCTGTGGGGTTCGTTCATTCATTCATTCATTCATTCACCCATTCTACACATACCATTCTGGGCTCGCCTGACCCCGACCCCTGGGGTCATCTGTGGGCTCTGCCATCTCTCCTCATCCACGCTCCCACGCGTGGTCCAGAGGAAGGGACACGGGACTGGCCACGGGCGGGGCTGGGTGCCACCAGGGTCCTGCTGCATCAGACTCGGTGGCAGTGGGGTGACATTTTCCTTTCTTTTTCCATAACCTTTTGTTCCCCCTGATTTCCAGAGAATAAAAAATTCTCCAGAGGGGTTCCTCTAGTATTTTGTGTAATTGTGTGTGTGTGTGTGTGTGTGTGTATATATATAATATGGGTTATGTATTATATTTATATTTCTCATCTTACAGTGGGGCTATCCCAATAAACTCATTACAAGTTGAAAATATCATAAGTTGAAAATGTGCTTAATACACTTAACCAGCCATAGCTCAGCCTAGCCTACCTTTAATGTCCCCAGAACACATTCTCCAGAAATCGCTGGCAGCACAGAACACTGTAGAGTATTGTCTATCCGTCCCCGTGACTGCGGGGCTGACCGGCAGCTGTGGCGCCCAGCCAGTGCCCGGCCTCTCGAGAGAGCACTGTACCTCGTATCTCCAGGAAAAAATCAAAGTTCAGAATGTGGAATACAGTTTCTACCAAAATGTGTATCGCTTTTGCACCATTATAAACTCAAAAAAAAAATAAACTATCGAACCATCTGTGTGTGTATATGTATACATAAAATATACCTGTGTATACGTGTGTGTATATACGGATACATATATATGTTATGGTTTCCCCAACGCTTGTGATGTGCCAGGCTTTGCACTAAGCCAATGAAATCCATCACACTCTTTAATCCTTCTGGTGACCTCATGATGTATGTACTATGACTATGCCCCTTTTCCAGAAGGGGAGGCTGTGACTCAGAGAGGTTAAGAGCTTGCTTGAGGTCACACAGCTGCTAAGTGGTAGAGCTGCCCCACCCCCAGGCAGGCAGGGCCAGGGGGGCAGAGCTACCTGGGTGGGCAGAGAGGGCAGAAAACAGTTGCACAGACTGGGGCCTGGAGTCTATTTAAAGCATGTAGCAGGGTGGGCGGATGCGTCCTGTCTTGTGTAAGTGATGCACGCTCACCGCTCAATGTACACAACAAAGCAGAGAAATGCCAAGAAGGGAATAAAAAGAAACTCCACACCCACCCACCATCCAGAAATAATCGGAGTTAAAATCTGTGGGGTTTTTCCTACACTTCCATTGAATTCCAGAATCCATGCCTCTCACCTCCGCACGGCGGCTCCTGTTCTGGAAGAGCTTTTGAACAGGCTTCTTCCACTGAATAAGACACCGTGGCCA